TAAATGGTAATATAAATTCTTTTTCATGTTTATGCACGTTAGAATATGTGATAATTAAAGAAAGAAATTCGAAAGATTTTCTTTTCTCAAAATATGAACATTAGTAATAATCTTGGAATTTTTCTTTAGATTATCACCAGAATGTACTTCAGTTGCTGAAAATTAGACTTCTTTTATCTCTTTTTCGTCATCACTTTCGTCATGATTTTGAAAAAATCTGAGGTAGAGTAGATCACTTCAAGTAACCTAATAACTAGAGGTGTAAGCCATCCAGTTGCGCTGCCGTCGATTTTTTTCAGAAATCAGCCGCCGCCTCCATGGAATCGTAGATAGTTTTACGAATTTTTTAGCTGCCGCCGCTGTGACAAAGTTAGTTCAGCCATTGCGCCGCCGCCATTGACATCGAAACATATGCGATTGGTCATTTTCTCGCGTTTTAGGAGCGAAAACGTCTTTTTTTGGTTGTCAAAGCCGCCGCCGGTGCAGAAAAACATGGAGTCTAGTAGGCGCTGCCGCCATGGAAAAAAATTAGACCATCAAAACAGCCGCCGCCGTTTGACTCCTCGGCTTACAGTTCTACTAATAACCATTTTTCATATAAAAGTAAGCAAGAAAACCAGAGAAAAACTAGTTAAAAGTCATAGTTTCAACTTCAAAAAAAGCGTCCTTTGTCGATGTCTGTCTGTCTGAGTATTGTTTGGTAACGTGAACGTAGCTCGTCAATTTTCAATAAAAGTCATCAGACTTACCCTCTTGACACGAATAAATAAACGACTGAATTGATTCGTCACGAATATGCGATGTTTTCTTTTGTATTATTCAAGATTTGTCTCGTCAGACGGCATTGATTTCAGTTTAAGTACTGTATACACTGTCAAATTACGAGAAACTATGTTAAAATGAATATTTAGTATGGGTTAAAAATCAAGAGTACTGTGTCGAAAAGAAATGATGAGACGATGGTGCAAGCAAAACTTGAGACTTTAGAAAGTATGAAGAAAGTCTTGAACCTTGAATTTCTGTTTCATCTGAGTCGCGCACATGGGGAAGGGTTTTTATATGATAATGTGTAGAGAAGGAAAATGGTAGGACCGTCTTTACTGCCATTCTCTGCAATCGTTCGTCGATTAACATAAGATTGTAATGTTTTTTTTTATCGTTTTTACAATCAATGTGTCTCTTGAGAATCGTGAAACATGGTGATATAAGGCTTGAATGACATGTGTAAAGAAATGAATAGACGTGATTGTACGTGTCTCTATGTATGAAAAGATATCGCCATTCACACTCATTCCTTCGGAGCTAAACATTAAGATGCATGCTTAGTTTTCCAGTAAAAGAACAAAATTTTAAACACAAACTCTTGTGTTTGATGGTTAGTGTATACACTGCTCATCTCTTCTCCCTCAGATCGTGACAGACGTGGATCCACTGGGTGGAAAAGAGCAGACTCTAATCCGTTGGAATCTCTTAGAATTTCATGAAGTCTACTAGAATTCTCAAGAGTATCTTAAGTATACTTTATCGCTATTTAAGTAAATGGTTATATCAAGCTATGATTCATTGATTCGAACGACAGAAACAAAATATTTTTTTCTGAAGTATATAAACGCTTGCTAGAAACATATTTTTGCCAACCTCGGTGTCCATCAGACTAAAATCATCCTATAACTATCTCTCGAATAAGAGTGTGGACGGATGTAGGCGTGGAGGAGGGTGTGGGTGTGGATGTAGGTGTGAGAATGAAAGGTTAGAAGAGTCATATCCACACTCACATCCGTCCCACACCCATCCCACACCCATCCCACACCCACACTCATCCCACACGCACACATCCATACCCACCCACACCCGCACCCAACATACAACTCATAAAGAAAATATTCTAACGGAATCCTCATATGAGAAAAAATTTATTCTTTTCAATAATTAGATTACACATTGGTAGTTAATCAATAATACTATTGCTTCAGAGTCTCTTACTGACTCGAGCACGAAGTCCGTATTTTGGTCTCATGGTAATGATGAATTCTGGCACAATTTTCTGTCCCGGTTCAATTACGAAATCGCATCGTTGTACGAGCATAGCCAACATTACTTTAGCTTCAAGCATTGCAAAATGTTGTCCAATACAATTGCGTGGTCCGGCAGCGAATGGCAAATAGCAGAAAGGATGAGCTAATTTTGGTTTCAAATCTGTTATTGGATCACGTATCCAACGTGTATAATCGAATTCGAGTGGTCTAGGCCAGTAGTCCGCTCGTCGATGAAGTGCATAGCTATTGATGAGTATTGTGGTACCAGCAGGGATGCGTAACTGCTGCTGTTCTTCTTTTCCTATGATATGTTCACGTATGCATTTTCGCACAAATAGAGGTGCTGGTGGATAGAGACGAAGAGTTTCTTGTAAGATCGCTTCACACACGACTAGATTACAAACAAGTTCATAAGTAGGATCCGTACCATTCGGTAAAATTTTGTCCACTTCTTCACGACATGCACGAAAAACAGATTCATTTGTCATCAAAACATACATTGCCCATGTCATAAGATTACTGGTCGTTTCATGACCGGCCAAAACGAAGGTTAAAGCCTGATCTTTGATTTCTTCATCTGTAAATGATTTTCCATCGCTATCCACAGCTGATAGCAAGAGATCAAGAAGATCCGAACCAGCACACAGACTAGCAGATCGACCCTGTCGTCGATCAGTAATGACTTGTTCAACAGAACGTGTGACCCGTCGAACACCATTATCAATGACGCTTTTGCGCCAGAGAGGTAGACGTGATAGAAAAGGAATTTGAGTAATGGTATACGTCAGTCGATATCGAATTGCGTCAAAAATTTCGTTAATTGTCTGATACATGGTTTGACTAAAATTTTCTGCTGTTGAAGAATCTTTACCGAATGCGCTCGACATAATAATTGATAAGGTGAGACTACTCATTTCCATGTGTAAATCAGTGTATTTTGATTGTGATGTTGAAAAAAATCTGTCAATAGCTTTAGCTGTTTCATTAGTCATGATAGAAGCCATAGATCTCAAGTTGACAAAATGAAAAGCTGGATTAAGCATTTTTCTAGCTCTTTCATGTTCATGTCCTTCACTAACTAGTAAATTGTGTGAACCAATTAATGGTTTGAAAACATTAACAAATATATCGGGTTTGACATAGTCGTGAGCGTGTGATCGACCGACAACATCAGCGATCATACCCGGTTCGGCCATGACAATACGTATTAAAGGACCAAAAGAAAACAGAAAATGATGCCCATATTTTTCATGAAGATTGTACAAGTATGTCAGAACATTACTGTTTTCCCGAGCATGACGTAGGTCTGGTAGCTGACCGATAATTGGCACAAATGGTTCGCCTGGTACACCTTGCCTGCGCAGTTCATCATACAAACGCTTTTCCGGAAGAATCAATTTCCAATAGACAACGGCGACGATTAGTAAAATAGTGATGAGAAATATTACTAGAAGAATATGTAAGACCATTACAGAGAATTCAGGCTCTATTTTCGTTTTTGATAACGGGCAATGTATGTCTTTTACTTGTTCTACTTTTAACACGCTACTACTACAATGATAAATGCTTCAATAATATTAAAAGAAAGTGAGAACATTATTTGACGATTCTTTTCTCTGTTGTTACTTTTTATGACAATTCTTATATTCTTATCTGTGTTTGCACACCGACAACCATTAGGGAGGCATAGTCATGCAATGAAAAATATGTCTCTGTATTTTACCATTTTTCTTGTCACATTTTCTTCAAGAAATAACTAAACTGCTGAATCGTTCAAAATTGCTAAGATGGGTTTCAATTATCGAGGACTTACTAACACAATTTCCCCATGTCGATATTTTACATCAACTCAATTGAACATGTGCATTTCATCCACTATGAGCATATGCGTGCACACATTGGGTGAATGCGAAGTTTTTCCATTTGGAGTTGAAGTTTACGTTCTGCGTTGATCTCTCTACCAACGACAAAATTAACGCAACATATATTTTTGATAGATATTTTCATTAATGGTCAACCACGAAAAATATAGGTTTTTCAGAATTCATTTTCGTCTACAGGACTTTGTAGAGCTCGTTTTGCTGGTCATTTTGGTAAAAACAACTATTCGAATTTACCCGATAAATAACGAATCTTGGCTTTGAATACTCAAAAATATCATCTACTAATCAGCAGTAGTCACGAATAGTCGTAAGTTTTGACTATTTTAACTATAATGTCGTTATTTATTGAGTAAATTTGAATACTTTCTTTACCGAAATGATCAGCGAAACGAGCTCTACAAAGTCCTATAGACGAAAAAAATTTCTGAAAAACTTATATATTTCGTGGTTGACCATTAATGAAAATATCTATCCAAAATACGTATAGCGTTAATTTTGTCGGTGGTAATCTGATAAAATACTTTCGCTCAACTTTTCCATTGCATTATTGTATTACACTCCGAGTTGAGTGTAGTGAATCTCTATATTGAAAAGCCGAGAGAATGTGAAGATGAGTGGCCAATGTTATTTTACCATGCTTTTCACCAGAACATGAGAAAAATGTTGTCGACATTCATCTGTAAGTTCATTCCATTGAAGGTTCATTATTGTTGGTGTCTTTATGAGAAGTCGAAACAATGTAGAGCAAGAGTAAGAAGGGTATGGGTGTGGGTGTGGGTATCATTCCAATCTTTACTCACACCCACACTCACACTCCACACCAACATCCACCCACATCCACATCCCATACTGAGCTTATGTTATGATATTATTTTTGTTTTTTTGTTTTCAGTATGATAGACTAAACATAACTGTATTTTTCCAAACGCGTCAAAGTTTGAAAAAAAAACAAAATTTTCGATCATGTTTGTCTGGTATAGATATTTATCATGACTGGAAATCAGCTGCTGTCACAGTGCTACTTTTGAAACATCTCTCGCACTGCAATAGTTTTAAAAAAGTATGTAGCATTTGATGATTGTTAGATAGAAGAGTCGATTAGTTGTTATCGATTGAAAAGAAAATAAATCTTGTTTAAAATAAAAATGTGAATTGTTTTAGTACTTTTTCTCTGTGTTATTCTTGATGATAATTGAGTAAAGAATCACTGACTAACAGAAACATCTATGCTCGTTGATGTATATGTATGTATTTCACAAATTCATTTTACTAACTCTTAACGGTTTAGATCGATTTCTGTAATCAAAATCTCATCCTATCTTATTCTATTAACTATTATTTATGATTATAACAGATGATCTGTGAAACATTTCATATATACATTCAAATTCTCATCCAATCAAACAACACCAAAACCCAAAGTCACACCTTCGTCAACAGCCAAAGTCATACTTCTGTCTCATGCGACAGAAACTGATGGTGATGATATGATACATGGATTTTACACTCGACAAGTAGCTCGAATCGTTGCATCTGCTTTTTCTTGTTCTTGTTTCTTCCTTAGTTCAAACATTTTGCTTTCTTTTTTCAACTAGAATAGATGCGATACGATCATTTACATTGTTCAGTGGAATTTTTCACAGTTCACAATCTTGATCACCTTGAACATTATTTATTTCGTCGCTTATGAGAAATCATGACCTGTATGCATCGTGTTAATGATTAAACTTTGTCTAAATATAACTTGAATAATAACTATCTTTATTTTCGTTGAGTTACATAACAGAAATACTGATCTAAATGTTCAATTTCTCAAGACAGAAAATTTATCATATTCTTTACTTCATTGGAAAGAAAAACTTTATTGTCACTTCGTCGTTAGGACAGATGTATCTCCAATTAAATCTGACATGATATAAGATAGATATTCAACATGTAGGAGTATGTTATGTCATGATGACTTGTGAATAGAATAATCGAAATGAGATATTATACGATTAGAACTACTTTTACACGACAAAGAAAGATATCATTATGAAACGAATAGTTTTTTTCTATTTAGAATGATCGAAAACTAAATGTTTTTTTTTCGGTTAGACATAGAACTGCTTAAACTTGAAAAATTATACGACAAGAATTATTTTTTGAAGCATTTGTAACCATTAATATTGAAACTATAATTATTGAATAAAGCAACATGAACATTTTAAGTTTGTTTAGAATTGTAGATCTTAAGTTGAAGAATCTAAGGCATTTCTCCTAGATGAAATTCTATACACCTTTAAAATAATTTCAGATGCTTCTTTGAATTTTGCTAGCTTCTCATCAGGCTATTGTACTAGTTTTATTCACTATTATATAGAAAGATACAAAAAGTATCGAATATATGTGAACAACATCTCATAAATCTGTATCTTAGATCTATGGTATAAGATATTAATCCGAAATAAATAGATTATAATATATTTAATTTCTCGATATATTTTCATTTTTCTATATCATATATTTTGGGAAGGATACAACTTTTAAAAGTACTTGAAAGATGTTACTCAAAATCACTTGTTTACCGTTAATTCAAATTGTTTTTCTTTTTTATTCATTTCTAAATGAAATGTTTGAGGGAAAAAAAAGAATTATTTATTTTAATAGAATTTAAAATTTGTTAAAATCTAAACTAATAGAAATGATCATAAATTTGAATAATTGTCAATGAATTATCAGTTTCAAATTGAGTACATTCACGTATAAATGTTAATAAATGTCTAAGTTTAACACGTAAAATAATATGTGTTTGACTTTGATTAAGTGGATTTGTAAATTCAAATATAATATCCATATTAGATCTTTGTTTTAACCATAAAAGACGTTCATTATCATTATTATTAACAGCTAATTCAATTTGAATTTGTTCTTTTTGTTCTGATATTGATAAAAGATTAAATTTTGTTGGATGTAAAGCAATTTTTTTTAATATTGAATTAAATACTTGATGTCTTGGTACTCGTATAGCATATAAACGATTTTTCATTAATATTTGTATATCATCAATTCTTTCATCAATAGATTCTTTAAAATTAAAATCTTCATTAATTTCATCAAGTTTTTCAATAATTAATTGTTCATATTCAGGTCCAAATCGTGTAGCAGGTATAAGTCGAATAAGAAATGAAATAAAAGATAATTGTATAAATGCCATAGATAAAAAAATACCAACAGATATATTCATTAAAAATGCAGGTGCTACAAAAAGTGCTTGTATTAAACCATATTTTTTTATAGCAAAATTCGTTTCAGTAAAACTTAATGACCAATAAATTGAAAGATATTTCATATAAGGAAAATAATAAAAAGGTGTATGATTTAAATATTGTCCAAATTCCATTATAATACGAACAACTAACCATTCTAATGGACGAAAATAATTTGATTCAAGATAAGCAGATACTTTCGTATAAGTTTTATTTTCAAGTATTTCATTAATATCATTAGTATTGATATATTGTATTTCAGGTTTTCGTACAACAATCATTATATCATCTGTTGGATCATCTTCTTGTTCATCATAAATAAATGTATCTTGAAAACCTATTTGTCTTACACAAGAACGCCATTGTTCAATAGTACGAAATGCTCGTATTTCATTTCTTTCTGATTCATAATCAACACCAGTAACAACATTAAATACCATATGTGCAACATCTAATAATGGTTTAAGTTGTTCGTATGCATGATGTTCACGAAATAGAAATAAACCATTGGGACGAAGAATTCTATAGATCATTTTTAAAAATATATCAAGTTGATCTTGTGGTAAATGATGTAAACCCATATAGCAAACAACAAGATCAATTGATTCACTTGGAATAGGAATATCGGTTAGTTTTGAAAAATTATAAGGAATAAAATTACCAATAGAAAATAAACTATTGCGTTCAATAATATCTGTTAAACGTTGATGTTCATTAACAATATAAACACGACCATCTTTTATTTTTAATATTTCTCGTAATTCTTTAATACATCGACCACCATCACCAATACTAACGATATCTCGAATCTATGTATTAGAGATAAATTTAAGAATTCGAAAAGTATTATAACATAAACTCTCTTAACAAAACAATACTTCACTTATACAGTAATTATCGTCCAGGGTTCCACTACCAATTAAAAACTATCTTTAACTGAATCGTTTGGTCTCATATTTTGGTCATAAATAGAGCACGATGCACCTCGATTTCAAATAGCAATAAAGACTTCATTGATCTCCATACGTTGGATAATTACAATCATTCCTCTTAAAAATTTCTCCA